CTCCCGTCCCCCAGTAGGATAGACCGACTTCCTTACATGGTAGACAGCGTTCCAGGAGAGTGAGGGTGGAAACTGTAAGGTCTCTTGAGGCCTAAACTCCAGAACTTACACAACATCACTTCGGTTATTTTCCTTTATTCAAAGCAAGTCACAAAGTCAGACCAGAACAAAGGAATTAATAAATAGACTCCACGTCATAATGGGAGAGCTGCGAAAAATGTGTGACCATTTTGAATCCACCACAAAGTGGTAGATAGCTAGATTATGTTAGATGGGGACATCTTTGGAATTGGTGTATATATAGGAAGCAGGGTGTGTATGCCAGGCAGGTGAGACAGACTGTTCTAGGCATGTACCCACTGAGGAGCCTACAGTAGGGATGTGACTTCCATGGTGGCACCTCTGAGCTGAGGACCCTATGACAAGGTCTACATTAGACCACTGGTTCACAGAAGCAACTTTGAGCTGCAGACCTACCACAGCTGAGCGACCGCATGCCTCTTAGCTTCAGTTTATCCTCTGTAAAATGGGCATGATGATCCCTGTCTCACAGCCAATCTGTGAGGCTGAAATGAGATGATCACCACTAATATGCTTTGTAATTACAGAGTGCCATCTACATGTGACTGTGTATTATTATTATTATTATTTTTTCTTTTTTTTTTTTCTTTTGAGACGGAGTTTTGCTCGTTACCCAGGCTGGAGTGCAATGGCGCGATCTCGGCTCACCGCAACCTCCGCCTCCTGGGTTCAGGCAATTCTCCTGCCTCAGCCTCTTGAGTAGCTCGGATTACAGGCATGTGCCACCATGCCCAGCTAATTTTTTGTATTTTTAGTAGAGACGGGGTTTCACCATATTGACCAGGATGGTCTCGATCTCTTGACCTCGTGATCCACCCGCCTCGGCCTCCCAAAGTGCTGGGATTACAGGCTTGAGCCACCGCGCCCGGCTGACTGTGTATTATTATCTGAGATCTGAGGAAGAAATAATCAAGATGGGCTTGGGTAGTCACAGAGAGCCTAGGCAGGGCTTTGAAGGACAGGGACATTCACACTGGTGAGGAGGAAGGGCCGTATTTCGAAATGGGAAGCTAGAGAATAAAATCATAAAGGCACAGAGGTAGAACAGTGACAGACGGTCGCCAGGAGAGGGAGGAGAGCGACATGGTCAGAGGGTGAGCCCCCTACAACCCTGGACTCTGGGTTTCTGGCTGGCAGTGGGGCAGGAGCCACCAATGGTCACTCAGAACCACAACCAAGGCTTCCATTCTTCAAGGATCATCAGCTGCCTATCCCCACACAGGCCTGCAAGGCCTCCTCCAACCACAGGGAATTAGCGTATATATAGGACAACGGGAGGTGGCAGGCAGGAGGTCAGAGTGTCAGAGCTACAGCACCCTCCTCTGGAGCCACCAGGATCAGGTCAGAGCCCTCCTAGTGTTCCCAAGCTCCTGTGGGGACCCCTGGTAATAGGCTTGGGTTACAGGTAGCCTAGCTAAGCCGGGCTCCAAGCCCCTCCATCCCCTGGGCAGGGATGGGGGTGACTGATGGGTTTCCAGCATGTTCCAGGCAGAGGCTTGGAGCGGCTGCAGAGTAGCCTGGCTTGCAGAAGCCCCAGATGGCCACTCGTGGCTGAGACTGAGCCACCCAGGCCAGGCCTTGGAGAGTCTAGACCTATGGCCCCCTCCAAAGCCCTCTCTATTCTGGGGTGCTGGCTGAGGAGAGCAGTAGCTTCCCCCTCAAAGGAGTCCTGGGAAGAGAGAGTGAGGGCAGGCTCAGATGTCCCCATTCCAGCCCCGTGTCGCTCACACAGCTCACTCCTACTTGGGGACAGGAAAGGACTCTGATGGGAGTCTGGGAGGTGGCAAGATTTTAGATAGCGGGGCATAAATGGCAGGGCTGGAATTGGAATCCAGGGATTTCAGCATAGTCCCTCAGCTCTGTACTTACCATATTAACACCCACTGGTCACTTGGGGCTAGGTAAGTGCCGGCCTCAGTGTGAGTGCTGGGCTGAACGAGGAGACTCAGGCAGGAATCCTGGCCTAAAAGACTCCACTGTGCCCGATCCTCACCCATAGGCTACCCTGCTTCCCACTACAGAAAGAGAGGGAGGTAACTGGGAGGCTGGGAAGGGCTCTCTCATACACCCTAGGATTCCACAGAATGAAGGCCTTGGAGAGCAGCTGATTACCCTGACCTTGACCTGGGCCCTCTGGTTTACCTCCCACTACTTTCCTTTCCTGTCTATCTCTCTTGCTGTCCTTATCCAGCCTTGATGGTCATATTTGCTTCTCTGGCCTTCCTCCTGACCTCTAACTCCAGCCTGGCTCCTCTGACTTCTGCCAGACTCCTAGAAGCAGTCACTCCCTCCACACTCTCCTCTCAGCTATGTTTGCTGTCAGTACAGACGGTCCCAACTTAGGAAGTTACAATGTTCTGAATTTATGATGGTGCAAAAGTGACACAAATTTGGTAGAAACCATACTTTCCTGTACAACCATTGTGTTTTTCATTTTCAGTACAGTATTCAATATAGTACATGAAATATTCAATACTTTGTTGTAAAACAGGCTTTTTGTTAGATGATTTTGTTCAACTGTAGGATAATGTGAGCATTCTGAACATATTTAAGGTAGGCTAGGCTAAGTTCTGATGTTTAGTAGGTTAGGTACATTAAACACATTTTTTTTACTTAAGATATTTTCAACTTTCAATGGGTTTATTGGGACGTTACTGTAAGTCAAAGAGCATCTGTATATTCTCAAACCTTGCAATCTCAGAGCTGGCAGGGGCCTGCAAACTCACTCAGTCCAAACTCCTATTGCACAAATGGCAACCATGAGGTCAAGGTTACTTGGGTTCTTGCTAATTCATAGTCACATATCCGATTCAGAAACAGAGCTAGGGCCAGGTTTTTGACTTCCAAATTCCAATTTTTCTCCTATCCTTTGATCTGGCAATTGTGGCTCAGCCTCTGTCTGTCTGTCTGTCTGTTCCTTGGGCCATCAGATTTCATATGGGCTTCACTCAGTTCAGATGTCTGCAGTCAAAGCCATGGCCAAAGCTGCATCATGGCTTGGTTCTGATAAGTTGGACCAGACTGGGGCCAACTACGGGGCTTATGAAGCAAGGGCTGGGGGCCGAGAGGGAGACTGGGCTCCAGGAGATAAAGCAAATCAGATTTATGCCCCAGGTCTACTTGGGAACCAGGGAACCATTGCTGTTCAATGTCCTTTCTCCAAGTCTCCTTGGTCTCAAAAAAAAATTGTTGCCCAGGCTAGAGTGCAATGGTGCACTCTCAACTCACTGCAACCTCTGCCTCCTGGATTCAAGCCATTCTCCTGCCTCAGTCTCCTGAGCAGCTGGGATTACAGGCACATTCTACCACACCTGGCTAATCTTTCTATTTTTAGTAGAGACGAGTTTTGCCACGTTGGTCAGGCTGATCTTGAACTCCTGACCTCAAGTGATCTACCTGCCTTGGCCTCCCAAAGTGTGGGGATTACAGGCATGAGGTACCGTGCCTGGCCTCTCAGCAGATCTTGTCAGGGCAGTCCTCAGAGAAAACAGCTTTTACACACACACACACACACACACACACACACACACGGGAAGACACATATACAGGAAAAGGCACAAACACACACACACAGAGCTCCTGGCATACGAGTATGCACTGTTGTACTATGGAATCATTTCCATGTGAGGCTCTTTCCTCTAAGTGCAAGGATACATCCTTTTTCTTGTGGCTTCCCAGTGCCCAGTCTAGAGCCTGGGAATAAGAGCTCAGTAAAGGTACGTGGAGAGAGTGAGTGGACCCTGGTGTGGATGGCCAGAGGGCCGGACCTCCATCTCCAGTTGCCGGCATGAGGCGGGACGCCCAGCCCAGGTTAGATGAGCCTGCTACATGGGGCAGTACTGGAAGCTCCCACTGTGGTCCCTAGTACGCTCTGTCTTCATCTTCTTCCTTCAGCTGGGGCTCTATCACTGTGACCAGTCAATCTCAAAATGTGGTCCATGAACCAGCAGCATCAATATCATCTGGGAGCTTGTTAGAAATGCAAACTCTCAGGACCCCACTGAATCAGAAACTCTGGGTGGGGGTCCCGAAATCTGCTTTAACCACCCTCCAGGGGATTCTAACACGTGTTAAAATTAGAGAACCACTATCTGTGCAAACGGATAACCTCATGTTGGGGCCAAGGGCCGGGAGTGGGGCTTCACGGCACGTGCAGCTGCCTACGCCCCCTACAGGTAAGACTGGCTGTTCACATGGTGGATGTCCATACCTGAAGTCAGACACGCACTAACACACAGGCATATACGTGAGCAACAAGGTCTCAGGAGAGTCCACATGCTGGCGCTCTGGGGTCTCAGTGGGTACCAGCAGGAACCCAGATGGAAGTGGGGAGGAGAGAGGAAGAACTGTTCTCGCCAGCTGACAACCTATGCCCCGCAGTTCTTTGGTCTCTCGTCCCTTCTGAGGTTCCCTGAGTGATCCCTCAGAAGCCAGAGAAGCTGAGTAGTTGCCCAACTCAGACCAGACACACCCAGCTGAGAAGCCAAGGTGGCCTGTGTGCCTAAGAGTGTTTGCAGTATGTGCTAAGACCAGCAAAGTCTTTTCTCTGTGTAGGTGGGCCAGGGCCGGGGGAATGTGGGACATCAGCAAGCAAGGCTTAGGCAAGAGCATACCATCCCCTGGGCCACGAAATGCTGCCCAGATGCAGAATTCCCCGCGGCCCCTTCCCAAGACTGTTTCTCGTGCCCAACCTGCCTCCTGACCCCTCTCTCTCTGCTCTGGACTGTGAAGCCCCAGGCCACTGCCCACCTGGCCCATCACCAGGTCCTGTGGCATCTCCGCCTCAGGATCTGGACATAAAATCCTGGCCTCTGCGAGCTGCAGGGGACGTGGGGAGGGGAGAGGGAGGCTCAGGCTCAGATCTGGTTTCGCTGCTGCTTCCCCTGGCTGGCTGCCACAGGCTGAGCCACCAGCTGTGCTATATAAGGCCGGCGCTGGACTGCGAGAGAGAGGAAGGCTTAGACCCCCAGCTGAGGAGTCCTGCTCAGAACACGGTGAGTTCCATTTCTGTTCTCCTCACCCCCCTGCTGGGCTCCACTGCTCTTGCCCTCCCCTGGCTACTCCATTCCCTTCTCCCCACCTCCCCCCACTTCTTGCTGCCTGACCCTTCGTCTTCCACAGAGAAGACCCCCTTTCTGCTTTGGGAATCTGCTTTCCCCCATTGGCCCAAAGTCCTTTCCCTCCCCTTCCTGAGGTCAGGAACCCCCAAAAGGTCCCCACTTAGGGTTTCGTTACCTCTGGGTGCCCTGCTTTTTCCCACGGCCAGCCAGTCTGCTTTATCCAAGTGTTCTGAGGAGCGTGGGATGGCGAGTCTAACCATCAGGGCATATGGTGAGCAGACGGCGGGGAGGCTGAGAAACCTCCGTGGGCTGCCAGATGGGAAATGGTTTTTCCACCAAGTGTCTCAGGCCACCTCGGCCTCCAGACATCCCTGGAGCAGGCTCAGGCTCAGGCTGAATGCGGTGCAGGCCTGCAGACTGCTCAGCTCCCTGCTGGGAGCCCAGAGTGAGACGCACAATGTGGAGGCCTTTGGGACGTCCTGGTGACTCTGCTCCCTCATCCGAGAAACAGGTAGCGGTGGGGCGAGCGGTTTTAGAGCGAGAGTCTGAAGCGTGGGGCTGGTTTGTTCCTCCCCTGGAATAGCCAAGTGTTTTCAGATATTTATTTATTTATTTTTTTAGAGACAAGGACTCTTCCCTTTCTTAACCACACCCTGGACTTAGGAGAGTGAAGGGAACCACTTTCGAATCTCCAGAAACCAGTCAGATTCTGGGCTGGCCGGAGCTCTGGGAAGAGATAAAAATGTTCCGCTCAGCTGCAGCCTGGACCACGCATGTCCCTTGTTCCTTGCCCTGTCCCAGACCTGCTTTCCTCTCCCGACTCTTGCAGTTCCTCATCCACGCTCAGCAGTTACTGGGGAGCCCTGGCCTCTCGCTGTGCCTCCCGTCTGCTTTCCCTTGGCTGGCTCCTGGCTGTGTAACCCTCAGTCAGGCCCCAAACAAAAAGGTCAGAAATGCGTTCCAGCTGCAGCCCGTGCACATCTGGGAATGTGTTCATGGAGGTGGTATGTCCGAGGCATGCACCCTCCAGCCTGCCTGCCTTAGGAGAGGCCACTGTGGTCGGAGCCAGGTCTTCCTGGCCTTAATATGTAGCCCCCTGTGCAAGAGTGTGAATTCTATCAAAGGATGGCAAAGCAAATGCCCCTCAAGCCTAGGTCTTAGAAGTGATTAATGAGTCACCAGGAGGCTGCTGGGAGTGAGCCCTGGACTGTCCTCGTTGGCAAGGAACCTCCTTGTCCCTGCTCTTCCTTGTACCCCATCTCCATGTGGGGCCCTGGAGCCTACACCCAGGGATAGAGCCTAGTCTGCCCCATTCGAACTCAGATTCTGAGCCTCTGCCCCTCCCAAGCTGCCTGGTGTCACAGTTCAGACTGATGTCACTCTCTTAAGACATCATTCTGTCCACTTTTCCCTCCTTGACAGGTCAAAAAGTATTTCTGCTTGAGCCATAAGAGGTGATTCAGAGGCCGGGCGCGGTGGCTCAAGCCTGTAATCCCAGCACTTTGGGAGGCCGAGGCGGGTGGATCACGAGGTCAAGAGATCGAGACCATCCTGGTCAACATGGTGAAACCCCGTCTCTACCAAAAATACAAAAAATTAGCTGGGCATGGTGGCACGTGCCTATAATCCCAGCTACTCAGGAGGCTGAGGCAGGAGAATTGCCTGAACCCAGGAGGCGGAGGTTGTGGTGAGCCGAGATCGCGCCATTGCACTCCAGCCTGGGTAACAAGAGCGAAACTCTGTCTCAAAAAAAAAAAAAAAAAAAAGGTGATTCAGAAATATGGAACCTGACAAGCTTTGTTTCTTTACAGGTCACTGGATCTGAGCAACTTCCCAGGGGACCACATTCCAGAGTCAGCAACTCTGTGAAGCACCCTCACCCACCTCTTGCCACGTTCCCACGGGGCTTAGGGGAAAGATGGTGGGGACCAAGGCCTGGGTGTTCTCCTTCCTGGTCCTGGAAGTCACATCTGTGTTGGGTATAGGCTAAGTATCTGCTGGCTCCTAAATCTTCCACTTGCCTCAGTGAAGTCATGTCTGGTCTGGGACTGAACTCTGCATCTGCCTTCAGACACAGCAAAGCCTTCAGACCTGAGGCCACTTTGTGGATTTATTCATAATTTATATCCTGTTTGTTCCCCCCCACCCACACACTTGAGATAGTTCCCAATATTAAAACTCACAAAACAGAACCTTTATATGAGGAGAGGGCGGAGCAGTCATTCAGAGGGAGGAAAAAAAAGATAAGAGGGTTATTTTTAGCCCTTGAGTAATAAATTTCGCTCTGAGCTTCCTGGCAGCCAAAGTAATAGGGAATCACAAGAAATCAATGAGTTCTCAGAAGCAGTTTTGGGTTTGGGATTTGGTCTGTTTTTAGGTTTTTTATTTTTATTTTTATTTTTTTTTAGATGGAATCTCACTCTGTTGCCAAGTTAGAATGCAGTGACGTGATCTCAGCTCACTGCAACCTCCACCTCCTGAGTTCAGGCGATTCTCCCACCTCAGCCTCCTGAGTAGCTGGGACTACAGGCGCATGCCACCATGCCCAGCTAATTTTTGTATTTTTAGTAGAGGCGAGGTTTCACCAAGTCAGCCAGGATGATCTCCATCTCTTGACCTCATGATCCACCCACCTTGATCTCCCAAAGTGCTGAGATTATAGGCGTGAGCCACCACACCCAGCCTGTTTTTAGTTTTATAAAAATTATTTTGGCCCAAAGCTCAATTTCATTTAGACCCTGCAGCCGAATTTCGCAGGCACACCGGAACCCCTTCCGGTCTCCTTGCCCTCTGACTGCATTCTCTGGTGATACTGAGGAACTGTAGAAAGATTTTGTCTGGTGGAATGGAAGACTTCCCAAGCCATCTAAGCATCAGAGCTCCCAGCCCTCCGCTGCACACTGTCTCCTACCTTTTCTCCTTCCTCTCCTGATTTCTAACCACATACTCAGGGAAAGAAAGGAAGAGAAAAAGAGAGAGAGGGGGAGGGAGGAAGGAAGGAAGGAAGGGAGGGAGGGAAGGGAAGGAATGTAAAAAAAAAACCCTCTTTTAAAGCCGTATGCCTTGCAGGATTTGTGGCCACAAATGCAGGAACAAAGGCTGTCTCAGCCTGGAGCCAACCCCAGTGTGTACCCGCCTCCTGCTTTGCTCTTTCCACCCTGACAGCTGCTGCTTGTGAAGATGATTAACATTCAACCGTCTGAGGGGAAATCAGATTAGGTTGATTAAAAGAGCTCCCATCACCTCAATTAAGTGGCATAGAGAATTCTGATTTGGCTCCTGGAGTGAGCGTTAATTGCCTATCAAAGCTTTTGCAGCCCTCTGCTCTGTGTTCTCCTTCCCATTCTGGAGACCCCAACCCCGCCTCAGGTTGGGTACAGCTGGAACTGCTTGTGGCCTGAGGACCCTGTACCCATCCTTAGGCAGTCCCTGCCAGCCTCGTGTAGAAAATTGAGGACCACTGCCCCAGTGAGGCCATATGAGTCTTTTATGAGAGTGGACTCCCAAGGGAAAGTAACTGGACATCTATCGTGCCAGGCGTTGAGCTAAAAGGAGTTGCTAGCACTTACTCAGCATGCATTATGTGCTAGGCGTTCTAAGTGGATTTTATGAATGAGCTTCTTTAATCCCCACAATCCTCTAAGGCAGGAACTATTATTATCTTTATTTTATGATGAGAGAACATGGGGTCAGATGGGTTAAGTAACTTGCCCAGGGTCATACAGTTAGAAAGCGGCAGAGGCTCAGGAGCCCACACTGTCAATCTACATATACATACTTCAGAGAGGTTTACATTCTATCTCATGGAATCCTCATGCCAATTGAGTCACCGTGCTAGGTGGGAATTAATACCTCCATTTTACAGATGAGGAAAACAAAGCTCCATTCTGCCAAGAAGGTTAGGTGCAGACACCAAAGCAGGAGTCCCAGGCCACTGGCTGCTCAGTAGCATCTGATGATCAGTGTCTAGAACAAGAGTGAACAGGGAGCTACCATTCATTGAGTATGTACTACATGCCCGGTCTCTTTACATTCATTATCGCCTGAGTAAGGCACCAGGACCCTAGGAAGCAGCAATTGTTAATGCATTCCTATTTTTTTTTTTTTTTTTTTGAGACGGAGTTTCACTCTTGTTGCCCAGGCTGGAGTGCAATGGCGCGATCTCGGCTCACCACAACCTCCGCCTCCTGGGTTCAGGCAATTCTCCTGCCTCAGCCTCCTGAGTAGCTGGGATTACAGGCACGAGCCACCATGCCCAGCTAATGTTTTGTATTTTTAGTAGAGACGGGGTTTCACCATGTTGACCAGGATGGTCTCGATCTCTCGACCTCGTGATCTACCCGCCTCGGCCTCCCAAAGTGCTGGGATTACAGGCTCGAGCCACCGCGCCCGGCCCAATGCATTCCTATTTTATGGAGAAACAGGCTCAGAGGAATAAAGCTTTTCTGAGATTGCACAGCGATAAGCAGCAGAGTGGGGTTTGAACCCGTGCCTGGGGCTCATGCTCCATCCACCGCCTCACACTGTTTCCCTGCATCTTGAGGAGGCCTGTAACTCCCAGCCCTGGCCTCTCACTTAGCTCTCTTTCCGGCCCGCAGGGAGACAGACGATGCTGACCCAGTCAGTAAGAAGAGTCCAGCCTGGAAAGAGGAACCTCCTCATCCCTGCCAAGCCTGCCAACACCCTGGAGAGTGAGTTGTGACTAGAGCAGGGAGGGGCTGGAGGGGGGAGTCTTTACGGAGCTTGCTAAGTAGATCTCTGAAGCCAGGGCATGATGTCAGGGTTCCATGGAAACCCACTTTTTAAGGCATTTGGCCTCCATCTCTGTTCAGGCAGAGGAACTTAGTGTATAAGACAGCTCCGAATCAGGAATCTGCCTGATATGTTTCAGGAATGCTGTGGAGCTTGGTGGGGCCGGACCACAGGCTGGTGGGAAGGGAGTGGGGAGATAAGTCTGGAGAGATGGCTGTGGCCAGCTCCTCAGCACCCTGAATGCCTAAGAGGATCTTAAAGCTGGGGTTGATGTGGCCCAAGGCACATGGAGAAAGCCCACCCTGATTGCAGGGTCAGGGGTGGGTGTGAATGATGTAGAGAAGGAGCCTTGATGTAGAGAGATCAGGCAGAAAGTTACTGACGTGGTTCAACCAGGCTGATGAGAGCTTGAACGGAGGCCTCAGCAGTGGCAGGTGTAGAGGGGATTGGAGAGAACCTGGTGAGACAAATGTGACCCTGAGACCAGCTGGGGGTGGGCGAGAGGGAAAGGAGAACTGGAGCTCACCAGGATCACCGCTCCTCCCCAATTTGGCTATGTCTCTCAGGCCCTGGTGAGTGGACGACGTGGTTCAACATCGACTATCCAGGAGGGCAGGGCGACTATGAGCGGCTGGATGCCATTCGCTTCTACTATGGGGACCGTGTATGTGCCCGTCCCCTGCAGCTAGAGGCCCGGACCACTGACTGGACACCTGCGGGCAGCACTGGCCAGGTGGTCCATGGTAGTCCTCGTGAGGGCTTCTGGTGCCTCAACAGGGAGCAGCGGCCGGGCCGGAACTGCTCTAATTACACTGTACGCTTCCTCTGCCCACCAGGTAAGCCAAACGCCTCCCACCCCTACCTGCTACTTCCCACTAGTCTCTACTCAGGGAGAGGGAGAACCTGCCTCTGGCCACCAGAACTCTCCACATCACACACATGCACATGCTTGGACTCTCTGTTGGAAATAGATGCTCGGTGCCGCAAAGAAAAATCAGCACTGAGATAAAGGATCTTTCAGCAACACAAATTTTACTTCCTGGACTGCAGGAAGGGTACTCTCACTAGTGATCATGCCACACGAGAGGACAATGAACAAAGGAACACTCACAAAATGTATCCCTTACACATATGGGGTCGTCTTTACTGCTGTGTCTGATCTCCATTGGCTGGAGCCAGACCTCACAATCTAAACTAAAACCTGATTGGCTAACAACTTAAAACTTTTCTAAATAGGTAAACGCAATGGCGAGCTGGTACATGTCTTGTGAGCATGCCCAGCAAACATATCTTGGTTCAAGTACAAGGACATGGAATGTACTATGTGCCTGTAAGCATGGCATGTCTAACAGCTACATAGAATAGGGCTTAACATAGTTATTAGCTCACTTATGATTTAACAAGAAAGGAAACTTTACAAAGGAACTTTTCTACTTCCCACACTCTCTAATAATAACCAAGTAGTGTCATTAGTGCCAGAACCTTCCCAATACTGTCCTGTGTTTATAGGTACTCTCTATTCAACCTTTTTTTACTGTGTTTGAGTGACACCATGGTGAAGACCGCAGGTTCTGAAGTGGGGATGCTTGGGTTTGAATCCTGAGCCTACCATGCAACGTGTCCCCTAGACAAATTTTCTGAAGTTCTCTTAGCCTCTGGTTTCTCCTACGTAACACATGGGTAATAGTAAGTCTTCATAGGGGTTTTTAATGAGGATTAAGTGATATGAATGCAGAGGCTTAACTCAGGTAAATGCTCACTGAGTGTTTCTATTCTTGTTCCTATGTGCCAGATACTGTGCTAGTTATTCACATTATTCAACCTTTACAACTGATCTTTGAGGGATCTCCATCTTGACAAGTTACACGAGGTTCAGAGAAGCTGGGTAACTTCTCACGATTCCATAGCTGATAAAGCAGACCTGGGGTTTGACCCACGTCTGTGTTAGCAGTCCATGCATTTATATCCCCTCCCACCATGGGTAATACAGATGATAGGGGGAACAGATCTGCTCCCTTCTTGGATGGGGATCCTCCCCCTTGGGGTTTCACAAGATCCCCCCGGCCCAGGCACCAGAGGTGGTCAGCTGGGGTGGGAGGTCAGGCTCATCTGGGCAAGGTGTGAAGACCCCATTCTTGTACACAGGCCTCAGGCCAGAGGTGAGGAAGGTGGGCAGAAAGGGGCTTCTTGTCCAAGTCATTGCAGGTTCTAGGCCCTGACTTCCCAGGGGCCCCTGACTTCCCAGGGAGTCCTTCCATAAGAGCATGAGCCTGTTTCCACGCTAGTGAAGAAGAAAGATAGTGCTATCCTTGCACATCCTAGGACAGCATATCAAAGTCCCAGTGCTTGGCCAACAAGCCCCTCTCAGGGCCACTACTAGCCCATAGGGTGCCTCTGTGCAAATTAGAGACATCACTTCCTCAAGACTTTGGACTTCTATCTGTTAGAAAAATCATTACAGTAAATATAAATATCAGTGACCTCTATGACATAAATGGACACCTTGTCTTTACCAAAGAAACAGCTTCAGGGTCAGATTTCCCAACAGAATCCCCTCAAGAGAGAAGTCAGACTGTCTGTTGATCCCACTTTGCAGGATCCCTGCGCCGGGACACAGAGCGCATCTGGAGCCCGTGGTCTCCCTGGAGCAAGTGCTCAGCCGCCTGTGGTCACACTGGGGTCCAGACTCGCACACGCACCTGCTTGGCAGAGACGATGTCACTGTGCAGTGAGGCCACTGAAGAGGGTCAGCACTGCATGGGACAGGACTGTAAAGGTACCACTCTCCCTCCTGGCACTAGGCAGGGTATGGTGGGTGAGGTTGAAGAATGAGAATTTAGATGGTCAGTCTGAGACTGATGGATTCCTTCATTTACTTACTCATCAAGTATTTTTTTTTTTTTTTTTTTTTGAGACGGAGTTTCGCTCTTGTTACCCAGGCTGGAGTGCAATGGCGCGATCTCGGCTCACCGCAACCTCCGCCTCCTGGGTTCAGGCAATTCTCCTGCCTCAGCCTCCTGAGTAGCTGGGATTACAGGCATGCGCCACCATGCCCAGCTAATTTTTTGTATTTTTAGTAGAGACGGGGTTTCACCATGTTGACCAGGTTGGTCTCGATCTCTCGACCTTGTGATCCACCCGCCTCGGCCTCCCAAAGTGCTGGGATTACAGGCTTGAGCCACCGCGCCCGGCTACTCATCAAGTATTAACTCAGGATCTATTACGTGCCCTAATGAGGGATATACAGTATAATATAGGAACACAGGTCAGGGTCAGTTATCATAGCCTGGGGGAATCTGGGAAAACTTCCTAGAGGAAGTGTTCTGAGCAAAGTTTTTTTGTTTGTTTATTTGTTTTGTTTTTTGAGTTAGAGTCTCCCTACGTTGCCCAGGCCGGAGTGCAATGGCACAATCTCAGCTTACTGCAGATTCCACCTCCCCGGTTCAAATGATTCTCCTGCCTCAGCCTCCCTAGTAGCTGGGATTACTTGTGCATGTCACCGCACCCAGCTAATTTTTGTATTTTTAGTAAAGACAGAGTTTCACCATGTTGGCCAGGCTGGTCTCGAACTCCTAACCTCAAGTGATTCACCCGCCTCGGCCTTCCAAAGTGCTAGGTGTGAGCCACCGTGCCTGGCCCTGGGATAAGTTTTAAAAGATGAGTAGGAGTTAGTCATGCAGGCTGATAAGGAAAGGTAGTAAAGGCCAAGGAGGAGGGGAAGCGACATGTGAGTGTATAGGTTGTGATGTTGACTGAAGGAATGCCAGAATCCATAGAATCCCTGCTGATGTGGCCCCTTGTCCCACAGACTGTGACCTGACCTGCCCAATGGGCCAGGTGAATGCTGACTGTGATGCCTGCATGTGTGAGGACTTCGTGCTTCATGGGGTTGTCTCCCTTCCCGGAGGTGCCCCAGCCTCGGGAGCCACCATCTACCTGCTGACCAAGACACCTAAGCTGCTGACCCAGACAGACAGTAATGGGAGATTCCGAATCCCTGGCTTGTGCCCTGATGGTAAAAGCATCCTGAAGATCACAAAGGTCAAGTTTGCTCCTATTGTACTCACAATGCCCAAGACTAGCCTGAAGACAGCTACCATCAATGCAGAGTTCGTGAGGGCAGGTAACTAAATTCTCTGGGGTAGGGCTGGTGAGAAGGTCCAGATTTTTAAATAAAAGGATCACAGTGCTAAAAGCTGGCTTCCCAGCTCACTCAGAGTAAAACCCTGAATCCTTACCATGGCCCAAATGGCCCTATACACCAAATCACTCTACTCCAACTGCAATGGGCTCCTATCTGTTCCTCAAACACGCAGGCACACCCCTGCCCAGGGCCTTTGCACTTGCTGCCTGTGTTCTGTTTAGAATGCTCTTCCTGTAGATATTGGCATGGCTTGCTCCCTCAAATGTATGAGGTCTTCCCTGGCCACCTTATCTAACAGTCAATACGGTACACTGAGATTTGGAGGTCACAGAGAGAAAGGCTTGGGAAGTTCAGAAATGGTGCAGGAAGGCCAGGAAATTCTGCCAGGGGCAACAGAAAGTGAATATTGCACTATTCAAAACAGCCAGTTCTGTCCTAATGGTAGTGCTTAGGAATCCTGGCTGACACGAGGGCCCCTTGTTTCTCCACTGACCCACCCAGATGCTGCTTGACAGGCCATGGAACAGGTCCCAGGATGGGGGGTGTGGAAGGGTAGACTCCACTCTGAACCAGTTCCCTTAGGACCAATGGATATGGGCTGGAGGTGAGGGTGAAGCCATACAATTTTCACACCACCAAAGACCCTGAGGTCACACACACACACGCACACACACAAACACACACTCAAAACGTGTTTCTCATCTTCTGTCCCAGAGACCCCGTACATGGTGATGAACCCTGAGACAAAAGCACGGAAAGCTGGGCAGAGCGTATCCCTGTGCTGTAAGGCCACCGGGAAGCCCGGTCCAGACAAGTATTTTTGGTGCGTATTCTGCCAGTTACCTTGCCCAGTTCTCTTGGAAACCAGAGCTTTCTTGCATTGGGTCTGGACTCATTAATAAGAACAATAACCAATAGAATAAAGTTACAAGTAAGGCACTGGTACAGAGCCCGGATGTTGGAACTTACAAGTGTGAGCCAGTGGGGTTGGGAGCCAGACAACCAGCAAGCTCTCTCATTGTACCCTCAAAGCTGGGAACCCTGTGGCGGGGCACAGTGGCTCACACCTGTAATCCCAGCACATCGGGAGGCTGTCACAAGTGGATTGCTTGAGCCCAGGAGCTCGAGACCAGCCTGGGCAACATAGCAAAGCCTTGTCTCTATAAAAAGCTTTAGGGGCTGGGCGCGGTGGCTCAAGCCTGTAATCCCAGCACTTTGGGAGGCCGAGGCGGGTGGATCAAGAGGTCGAAAGATCGAGACCATCCTGGTCAACATGGTGAAACCCCGTCTCTACTAAAAATACAAAAGAACTAGCTGGGCGTGGTGGCGTGTGCCTGTAATCCCAGCTACTTAGGAGGCTGAGGCAGGAGAATTGCCTGAGCCCAGGAGGCGGAGGTTGTGGTGAGCCGAGATCGCGCCATTGCAGTCCAGCCTGGGTAACAAGAGCGAAACTCCGTCTCAAAAAAAAAAAAAAAAAAGCTTTAAAAATCAGCCAGGTGTGGAGGCTTCTAGTCCCAGCTACTTGGGAGAATGAGGTAGGAGAATCACTTGAGTTCAGGAGGCAGAGCTTGCAGTGAGCTGTGATCACACCACTGCACTCTGGCCTGGGTGACAGAGGGAGATCTTGTCTTAAAAAAATAAGCTGGGGTCCCCTAGAGCATCTCTGGTCTTGGGGATCGGACTTGTGTATCAGCAGGACACAGAACAAAGTTCCCAAGTCCTGCTTTTCCCAATAAAAGTAAACAAGGGAAGAATCCCTTATGGCTGTGAGTCCTTTATCGTTCACAAACATTTTATAGCTACTCTCTTGTTTGACATGCCCAACAATCCTGTGAAGTCAGCTAGAGGTCATTGCTGCCATTTTATTATTATTATTTTTTTTCTGAGATGGAGTTTCACCCTTGTTGTCCAGGCTGGAGTGCAATGGCACGATCTCGGCTCACTGCAGCCTCCACCTCCCAAGTTCAAGTGATTCTCCTGCCTCAGCCTCCTGAGTACCTGGGATTACAGGCGCATGCCCCCACACCCAACTAATTCCTTTTTTTTTTTTTTTTTTTTTTTTTTAGTAGAGATGGGGTTTCACTATATTGGCCAGGCTGGCCTTGAGCTCCTGACCTCAGGTGATCCACTCACCTTGGCCTCCCAAACTGCTGGGATGACAGGTGTTGAGCCACCATGCCTGGTCATTGCTGCCATTTTATAGACCAGAAAGCTGAAGCACAGACAGGTGAGATAGGGAGGGGGGTTGTCCCAGCCAGGTACATGGTAGGGCTGGGACTTAGAACAAAGTTCCTTGTCTCCCAAGCCAATTAGTGCTCTTGGATGAGCCAAGTCAAAGGGGAACCCATTTACCATCTGTCTTCTTGGCTACCTGCTTCTGGAACTTTCCCAGGGATACCTGCCCTCCCACTGCCATTCAGGTTCTTCCTCTCCGTCCCTTGCAGGTATCATAATGACACATTGCTGGATCCTTCCCTCTACAAGCATGAGAGTAAGCTGGTGCTGAGGAACCTGAAGCAGGAGCAGGCTGGAGAGTACTTTTGCAAGGCCCAGAGTGATGCTGGGGCCATGAAGTCCAAGATTGCCCAGCTGATTGTCATAGGTAAGCCTGTCTGGGTCCCTGGGGGCCCTGGGTCTGCAACAGGGATGGTCAAGCACCCCAGTGCACATAACTACACAGTAAAAGCTCAGGCTAGCTGGGCACAGTGGCTCATGCCTATAATCCCAGCACTTTGGGAGGCCAAGGCAGATGGATCGCCTGAGGTCATTTGAGGCCAGCCTGGGCAACATGGTGAAATCCCATCTCTACTAAAAATACAAAAATTAGCCAGGCGTGGTGGTGTGCACCAGTAATCCAAGCTACTTAGGAGGCTGAGGCAGGAGAATTGCTTGAACCTGGGAGGCAGAGTTTGCAGTGAGCCGAGATGGTGCCACTGCACTCCAGCCTGGGTGACAGAGCAAGACTCCATCTCAAAAACAAATAAACATAACAAACACACACACACACACACACACACACACACACAAACAAGAAAGAAAAAAAGAAAAAGAAAAATGCAGCTAAAACAGGAGGTAAGGGGCTACAGACTGTAATAGATGGTAGATACCTCCCAGGTGGGAGTGACCACAGATGGCTACTTGAGGGAGCAGCTTTCTAGCTGGGGCTTAAATAATGGTTCTCAGTTTGGGCTGCCCCTTTGTATGACCTGATTGGGTTTTTAAAAATATTGATGCCTCAGTCTTACCTCCAGAGAGTCTGACCTAATTGGTCTGAGATGTGGCCTGGGCATGCATAGTTTAAAACCTCCCCATGTGATTCCAATTTGCAACCAAGGTTAGAACCCCTGGTCTTTTTTTTTTTTTTTTTTTTTTTTTGAGACGGAGTTTCGCTCTTGTTACCCAGGCTGGAGTGCAATGGCGCCATCTCGGCTCACCGCAACCTCCGCCTCCTGGGTTCAGGCAATTCTCCTGCCTCAGCCTCCTGAGTAGCTGGGATTACAGGCACGCGCCACCACGCCCAGCTAATTTTTTGTATTTTTAGTAGAGACGGGGTTTCACCATGTTGACCAGGATGGTCTCGATCTCTCGACCTCGTGATCCACCCGCCTCGGCCTCCCAAAGTGCTGGGATTACAGGCTTGAGACACCGCGCCCGGCCTAGAACCCCTGGTCTTAAAGAACGGTCAGGGATTGTGTATGTGGAGGTGAGGGTGTTCCAGATTGAGGGGCCAGCATGGGTAAACATATAGAAGTGGGAACTAAGGGGGCCTTACAAGAAAGGGTGATCTAAAGCTGGCTTCAAGAAGAGAACTGGAGTGTGAGAGATTCGAGGTCCAAGACCAATCCGGAGCCCGTCTTTGGAAAATGGGTAGGAAGGAAGATAGTTTAGTAATTGGCCAAAACAAAACAAAACAAAACAAAACAAAAGGCAAAGGAGGACAGAATGTATTGGAAGGATCCTGGACTACTTCAGACTCTTAAAAGGTTGAGCAGCCAGGTGCAGTGGCTCAAGCCTGTAATCCCAGCACTTTGGGAGGCCGAGGCAGGTGGATCGCGAGGTCAAGAGATCGAGACCATCCTGGTCAACATGGTGAAACCCCGTCTCTACTAAAAATACAAAAAATTAGCTGGGCATGGTGGCGCGTGCCTGTAATCCCAGCTACTCAGGAGGCTGAGGCAGGAGAATTGCCTGAACCCAGGAGGCGGAGGTTGCGGTGAGCCGAGATCGCGCCATTGCACTCCAGCCTGGGTAACAAGAGCGAAACTCCAACTAAAAAAAAAAAAAAAAAAAAAAAAAAAAGTTGAGCACGAGACTTCAGGACAGACAAGACACAGGGTACTCTGGACATTGGCAGAGACGTGGAACCCTCAGCGGTGGTCCCAACTCATCCCACCAAGCCTCCGTGCTTGTTACAGTAATTTTAAATATTGCTTTGTTATTATGAAGTTAAATTTATAGATAACTACATATAATTTCCAAATGTATTTGTACATGGTCCTAAATATAAAACAAAGAATAAATTTTTAAATTTTTTTTTTTTTGAGGAGGAGTTTCGCTCTTGTTACCCAGGCTGGAGTGCAATGGCGCAATCTCGGCTCACCGCAACCTCCGCCTCCTGGGTTCAGGCAATTCTCCTGCCTCAGCCTCCTGAGTAGCTGGGATTACAGGCACACACCACCATGCCCAGCTAATTTTTTGTATTTTTAGTAGAGACGGGGTTTCACCATGTTGACCAGGATGGTCTCGATCTCTTGACCTCGTGATCCACCCGCCTCGGCCTCCCAAAGTGCTGGGATTACAGGCTTGAGCCACCGCGCCCGGCAATTTTTAAATTTTTTTTTTTTTTTTTTTGAGACGGAGTTTCGCTCTTGTTGCCCAGGCTGGAGTGCAATGGCGCCATCTCGGCTCACCACAACCTCCGCCTCCTGGGTTCAGGCAATTCTCCTGCCTCAGCCTCCTGAGTAGCTCGGATTACAGGCACACGCCACCATGCCCAGCTAATTTTTAGTATTGTTAGTAGAGACGGAGTTTCACCATGTTGACCAGGATGGTCTCGATCTCTTGACCTCGTGATCCACCCGCCTCGGCCTCCCAAAGTGCTGGGATTACAGGCTTGAGCCACCGCACCCGGCCAATTTTTAAATTTTTAATATAAAATAGTGTGTATTCCCATATGTAAATGCTTTGGCACATTGACACGAGAAGACAAACCAAGAAGTTAGCCACTTGCACTTAAATCCACCATAAACATGACCACTACAAATGCTAATGGGTACAGAGGTATCATTTTGGCATTCACAGTGCTTAGATAATAGTGGTGTAAAACAAACAAACAAACAAACAAACAAAAACGATAATGGTGGTGTAGAAACGTGATGTTCCCAAGATGAGGAACAATTCTTGGTATTGTTCTGAGCTAAACAAAGTACAATCTTAGCTCAATTTATATGGCAGTTGCATTCTTGAAAAATTCAGTATGTGGTTAAAGCCATGTAAAGGATAATAAGCTCTGATCTTTTCATTCTTTTAGATGGAGTCTTGCTCTGTTGCCCAAGCTGGAGCGCAGTGGCACACTCACAGCTCACTGCAGCATCGACCTCCCAGGCTCAAGCAATCCTCCCACCTCAGCCTCCAAGTAGCTGGGACTATAGGCACGTGCCACCACGCCCAGCTGATTTTTGTATTTTTTGTAGAGACAGGGTTTCATCACATGCCCAGGCTGGTCTCCAACTCCTGGGCTCAAGCAATCCACCCACCTTGACTTCCCTAAGTGTTGGGATTACAAGTGTGAGCCACTGCAGCCGGCCAAAGCTCTGATCATTTTAAACAGGTTTTCTACCTAAATGAATGTCTGGTGAGATGTGTGAAAGTCATTCAGAAAACAGAAAGATTCTTTTTTTTTTTTTGAGACGGAGTTTCACTCTTGTTACCCAGGCTGGAGTGCAATGGCACGATCTCGGCTCACCGCAACCTCTGCCTCCTGGGTTCAGGCAATTCTCCTGCCTCAGCCTCCTGAGTAGCTGGGATTACAGGCACGCGCCACCATGCCCAGCTAATTTTTTGTATTTTTAGTAGAGACGGGGTTTCACCATGTTGACCAGGATGGTCTCAATCTCTTGACCTCGTGATCCACCTGCCTCGGCCTCCCAAAGTGCTGGGATTACAAGTGTGAACCATGGTGCCCAGCCTAATTTTTTTTTTTTTTTTTTTTTTTTTTTTTTGAGACGGAGTTTTGCTCTTGTTACCCAGGCTGGAGTGCAATGGCCGGATCTCGGCTCACCGCAACCTCTGCCTCCTGGGTTCAGGCAATTCTCCTGCCTCAGCCTCCTGAGTAGCTGGGATTACAGGCACGTGCCACCATGCCCAGCTAATTTTTTTGTATTTTTAGTAGAGACGGGGTTTCACCATGTTGACCAGGATGGTCTCGATCTCTTGACCTCGTGATCCACCCGCCTCGGCCTCCCAAAGTGCTGGGATTACAGGCTTGAGCCACCGCGCCCGGCCCAGAAAGATTCTTTACGCAGAACAGTAACCAGGCATTGCAGGACACAGAACATCAATGGCCGGCCGGGCGCGGTGGCTCACACCTATAATCCCAGCATGTTGGGAGGCCGAGGCAGGTGGATCACGAGGTCAAGAGATCAAGACCATCCTGATCAACATGGTGGAACCTTGTCTCTACTAAAAATATAAAAATTAGCTAGGCATGGTGGCACGTGCCTGTAGTCCCAGCTACTCAGGAGGCTGAGGCAGGAGAATTGCCTGAACCCAGGAGGCAGAGGTTGTGGTGAGCCGAGATCGTGCCATTGCACTCCAGCCTGGCTAACAAGAGTGAAACTCTGTTATCAAAAAAAAAAAAAAAAGCCGGGCGCGGTGGCTCAAGCCTGTAATCCCAGCACTTTGGGAGGCTGAGGCGGGTGGATCACGAGGTCAAGAGATCGAGACCATCCTGGTCAACATGGTGAAACCCTGTCTCTACTAAAGATACAAAAAATTAGCTGGGCATGGTGGCACGTGCCTGTAATCCCAGCTACTCAGGAGGCTGAGGCAGGAGAATTGCTTGAACCCAGGAGGCGGAGGTTGCGGTGAGCCGAGATCACGCCATTGCACTCCAGCCTGGGTAACAAGAGTGAAACTCCGTCTCAAAAAACAAAACAAAACAAAACAAAACAAAACAAAAACAAAAACAAAACAAAAAAAAAGAATGTCAATGACCCCTACCCACAATATGCCAGTAGCATCCCCAATTTTGGTGATAACCCAAAACACCTTCATACATTTTCAAGACCCCTCCATTGAGACAAACCACCGCTATAGCGGTCTCATCAACCAACTGTGTTTCACCGTATATAAAATGGGATCAGTAATAGCTGTTCCATCTCCTTCAGAGTGTTCTGTGAGGATGAGGGTCATGGATATACAAGTCCTTTGAAAATCATAGAACACTGTAGAGATGTAAGGTTGAGGTGCTCTTTGTGTAGGATGTAAACTTAAATCTTAATTTCCACACCATTTCCCTCTGCAGCACCTGACGAGACTCCTTGCAACCCAGTTCCTGAGAGCTACCTTATCCAGCTGCCCCATGATTGCTTTCAGAATGCCACCAACTCCTTCTACTATGATGTGGGACGCTGCCCTGTCAAGACCTGTGCAGGGAAGCAGGATAATGGGATCAGGTGCCGTGATGCCGTACAGAACTGCTGTGGCATCTCCAAAACAGAGGAGAGGGAGATCCAGTGCAGTGGCTACACGCTACCCACCAAGGTGGCCAAGAAGTGCAGCTGCCAGCGATGTACAGAAACTCGGAGCATCGTACGGGGCCGTGTCAGTGCTGCTGACAATGGGGAGCCCATGCGCTTTGGCCACGTGTACCTGGGGAACAGCCGTGTAAGCATGACTGGCTACAAGGGCACTTTCACCCTCCATGTCCCCCAGGACACTGAGAGGCTGGTGCTCACATTTGTAGACAGGCTGCAGAAGTTTGTCAACACCACCAAAGTGCTACCTTTCAACAAGAAGGGGAGTGCAGTGTTCCATGAAATCAAGATGCTTCGTCGGAAAGAGCCCATCACTTTGGAAGCCACGGAGACCAACATCATCCCCCTGGGGGAAGTGGTTGGTGAAGACCCCATGGCTGAACTGGAGATTCCCTCCAATAGTTTCTACAGGCAGAATGGGGAGCCCTACACAGGAAAAGTGAAGGCCAGTGTGACCTTCCTGGATCCCCGGAATATTTCCACAGCCACAGCTGCCCAGAGTGACCTGAACTTCATCAATGAGGACGGAGACACTTTCCCCCTTCGGACGTATGGCATGTTCTCTGTGGACTTCCGAGATGAGATCACCTCAGAGTCACTTAATGCTGGCAAAGTGAAGGTCCACCTCGACTCGACCCAGGTCAAGATGCCAGAGCACATATCTACAGTGAAACTCTGGTCACTCAATCCAGACACAGGGCTGTGGGAGGAGGAAGATGACTTCAAATTTGAAAATCAAAGAAGGAACAAAAGGGAAGAGAGAACCTTCCTGGTGGGCAACGTGGAGATCCGTGAGAGGAGGCTCTTTAACCTGGATGTTCCTGAAAGCAGAAGGTGCTTTGTTAAGGTGAGGGCCTACCGGAGTGAGAGGTTCTTGCCCAGTGAGCAGATCCAGGGGGTTGTGATCTCCGTGATCAACCTAGAGCCTAGAGCTGGCTTCTCATCCAACCCGAGGGCCTGGGGCCGCTTCGACAGTGTGATCACGGGCCCCAATGGGGCCTGTGTGCCTGCCTTCTGTGATGACCAGTCCCCTGATGCCTACTCTGCCTATGTCTTGGCAAGCCTGGCTGGGGAGGAACTACAAGCAGTGGAGTCTTCTCCTAAATTCAACCCAAATGCAATTGGCGTACCGCAGCCCTATCTCAACAAGCTCAAGTACCGTCGGACGGACCACGAGGATCCACGGGTTAAAAAGACAGCTTTCCAGATTAGCATGGCCAAGCCAAGGCCCAACTCAGCTGAGGAGAGCAATGGGCCTATCTATGCCTTTGAGAACCTCCGGGCATGTGAAGAGGCACCGCCCAGTGCAGCCCACTTCCGGTTCTACCAGATTGAGGGGGATCGGTATGACTATAACACAGTCCCCTTCAGTGAAGATGACCCTATGAGCTGGACTGAAGACTATCTGGCATGGTGGCCAAAGCCGATGGAATTCAGGGCCTGCTATATCAAGGTGAAGATTGTAGGGTCCCTGGAAGTGAATGTGCGATCCCGCAACATGGGGGGCACTCATCGGCGGACAGTGGGGAAGCTATATGGAATCCGAGATGTGAGGAGCACTCGGGACAGGGACCAGCCCAATGTCTCAGCTGCCTGTCTGGAGTTCAAGTGCAGTGGGATGCTCTATGACCAGGACCGTGTGGACCGCACCCTGGTGAAGGTCATCCCCCAGGGCAGCTGCCAGCGGGCCAGTGTGAACCCCATGCTGCATGAGTACCTGGTCAACCACCTGCCACTTGCAGTCAATAATGACACCAGTGAGTACACCATGCTGGCACCCCTGGACCCGCTGGGCCACAACTATGGCATCTACACTGTCACTGACCAGGACCCTCGCACGGCCAAGGAGATTGCGCTTGGACGTTGCTTTGATGGCACATCTGATGGCTCCTCCAGAATCATGAAGAGCAATGTGGGAGTGGCTCTCACCTTCAACTGTGTAGAGAGGCAGGTAGGCCGCCAGAGTGCCTTCCAGTACCTCCAAAGCACCCCAGCTCGGTCCCCTGCTGCAGGCACTGTCCAGGGAAGCGTGTCCTCAAGGAGGCAGCAGCGGGCGAGCAGGGGTGGCCAGCGCGAGCGTGGAGCGGTGGCCTCTCTGAGATTTCCTGGAGTTGCTCAACAGCCCCTGAGCAACTAAGTTGTGTGGTACTTCACCCTCTTCTCCCCTAGACTGACACACAAACTGTCACTTGGTTAATTTAAGCACATCTGTTTTGGTGCAATTTGCTTGTTTGTTTCTTCATGCCTTTACTTACTGTCTTTGTCCCATGATACTGATTGGCATGCGGCCCCCAAATCGGCAAAATAAAGCCCCTTTGTGAAATTGTTCTTTAAAAGAAACTCAAGAAACTGGCCACTGGTAAAACTCTGCAGCTTCAGCTGTTCTTCATTTAATGCCATTAATGCAAATATACTTCCTCTTTTTTTTGCATGGGTTTGCCCACCTCTGCAATAGTGATAATCTGATGCTGAAGATCAAATAACCAATACAAAGCATATTTCTTGGCCTTGCTCCACAGGACGGAAGCAAGCCTTGATCATAGTGCATGCATATGAATGGAGGCGAAATAAAGAAATAAAATGCAATACTTTTTACTTGAAATGTAAATAACTTATTTATTTCTTTGCTAAATTTGGAATTCTAGTGCACATTCAGTTAACCTATTAAACATAGGATAATCATAGTTTCTCTACCAAGACTGGAAAGAACATCTACTGGTATTCACAATGACACCAGGTTGCTAATTGCATTTGTACATTACCCTTTGCATTTGCTTTTGTTCTTGCCAGTGTAGCCCAGGGCAGATGTCAATAAATGCACATTCTGTACTTTGATTCTGAGGCCACTGTCCTGTCTTTTAACTATTAAAGTGAGCCAGCTGCTCAGAGGGGTACAGGGGATTCTGGAAGGCAGTCAAGGGTGGTGTAAGTCCTGGCCCCCTAAGTTACAGGGCAGGGCAACATAGGCACACACTCCAGTGGTGTGTGGATCATATTTTCCATTTGCAGAAAATAGCAGAATCCTGGAGTTGTGAGCATGCTCCGGGCTCCTCAGCAAGACTGAAAACATGTCCCAGTTGTTTTTTTTTTTTTTTTTTTTCCCTTCTTTCCAATACTTTGGAGCTTATACAATAGCTTGGCTCAGGCTCTGACAAGCTGGCCAAGTGGTCCTTTGGCTCCCTCCACAGCCTGTTGCCTTCTCCAGCTGGGCTGGCTGGCCTCATGCAGCAATGATGAGCTTTTTCTTTTTTTTAAGCTCTTCTAAAGATGTTCAGCTTTTCCAGACACCAGGTCTCTGTTGTGTGTTACAGACCCTGTCCCTAGAGGAAAACAACTGGTCCAAACGGACAGAGTTTTGGTTTTGGAAAAGGTATTTGTTTTAAAATAGTAACTCAGAGGCCCATAGGTGGTACCAGAGCAATCTCGGCAGCATTGCAGTCAGGGTAGCCGGGCGTGGGCTTGGGTAAGATGCACTCATTGCCCCTATCCCAGCCCCTCAGAATCTGTCAGGCCAAAGGGTTTGGGGGAGGCGAGGGCACTGCTTATAATCAGGACAAAAAGCTTTCCCTGATCCCCTGGCCAGCCTAGTGCAGCTCCATTAGCCATCTCTGGCCTGGGCTGGATTTGTACTCTTGGATCACCATCTGGCCAGCTCCTGGGAATTTGGTTTGTAATCAGTTAGAAATTTCTCTAGCTGAGCACATCCCAATAACCACAGAGAAAGCAAGCATCTGTAGGACTGAGGACTTGTGATTGCAACTTGACCCACTTCCAGACTCCACGTCTGTCCCACTGCTCCCAGGAAGCAGCTCTTACTGACTGTCTAGGGAGGCCTGACTGCCCCTGCTGAGGGGTCAGTGTGCAGTTATCTGCAGCACCGGTGGCCCAGCCACTTCAGGAGCCAGAGTGCATGCTGCTTCAACCTGACCACCAGTTCCCTTCAAACTCACAGGCAGGAGGTGCTGGGGAAGCTGGGTGGACTGGTTCCCCACTCTAGGCACTTCCCTTGCTGTTCTCAATTGAGAGTCTGAATAAATGGACTCCAGTACACAGCATCTCATGCCTGACTCTTTCCTTCACTCCCCAACATTTATTGAGTGCCAAACCATGTGTGCAAATAGACAAGCTTTGATGAAATAGTACAAAATATACGATACGTCATGGCATCAGACTTTGAGGAAGTGGCGGTCAGAGAGGGCTTCGTAGAAAAGGTGACATCTAGGCCGGGCGTGGTGGCTCACGCCTGTAATCCAAGCACTTTGGAGGCCAAGGCGGGCGGAACACCTGAGGTTGGGACTTCAAGAACTGTCTTTCATCAGTTCTGGAAAATTCTTAGACTCTTTAAATATTGCCTGTTCTCTTATTTTCTCTGCTCTTCTCTCAGGAACTATAATTAGACATATCTTAGACCTTTTCATTCTACTCTCCACATCTCTAATAATTTCAGATACCTCATCTCCTCCTCTCTGGACAATGTCTATTTTTTTTTAGATGGAGTCTCTGTCACCAGGCTGGAGTGCAGTGGCATGATCTTGGTTCACTGCCACCTCTGCCTCCCGGTTTTTTTTTTTTTTTTTTTTTTGAGACGGAGTTTCGCTCTTGTTACCCAGGCTGGAGTGCAATGGCGCCATCTCGGCTCACCGCAACCTCTGCCTCCTGGGTTCAGGCAATTCTCCTGCCTCAGCCTCCCTAGTAGCTGGGACTACAGGCACGTGCCACCATGCCCAGCTAATTTTTGTATTTTTAGTAGAGACGGGGTTTCACCATGTTGACCGGGATGGTCTTGATCTCTTGACCTCGTGATCCACCCGCCTCGGCCTCCCAAAGTGCTGGGATTACAGGCGTGAGCCACCGCGCCCGGCCTGCCTCCCGGTTTTAAGTGATTCTCCTGCCTCAGCCTCCAAGTAGCTGGGACTACAGGTGCCCGCCACCATGCCCAGCTAATTTTTGTATTTTTTAGTAGAGACAGGGTTTCGTGTGTTAGCCAGGATGGTCTCCATCTCCTGACCTTGTGATCTGCCCGCCTTGGTCTCCCAAAGTGCTGGGATTATAGGCATGAGCCACCACGCGGGGCCTGGATAACGTCTTTAGATCTGTTGTTTAATCCATGAACTATCTTTTCAGCTGGGCAAAATACTAATTAAATGTATCCATGTAATTTTAACAATCATGTTCTTCATTTTCAAGTGTTTTATTGAGGTGGGGAAGATGATTCTTTTTAAATCATCTGGTCACTTTTTTGTTTTTATTTTCGAGACAGAATCTTGCTCTGAACCCAGGCTGGAATGCAGTGGCATGATCACAGCTTACTGCAGCCTCGACCTCTTGGGCTCAAGCAATCCTTCTTCCTCAGCATTTCAAATAGTTGGGACCACAGGCGTGCACCACCATACCTGGCTAACTTTTTCTTTCTTTTTTTTTTTTTGCGACAGGGTCTCACTAGGTTGCTAAAGTTGGTCTCAAGCAATCAACCTGCCTTAGCCTCCCAAAGTACTGGGATTACATGTGTGAGCCACCACTCCTAGCCTATCTGGTCATTTCTGGTAGTCTCCAATTGCTTAATTGCTTGCTCATTTAAAACCAATTGTGGGCCCAGTGCGATGGTGCACGCCTGTAATCCTAGCACTTTGGGAGGCCAAGGCAGGTGGATCACCTGAGGTCAGGAGTTCTCGACCAGCCTTACTAACAGGGTGAGTACTAAATATTAAAAAATAAAATAAAAAAATCCAGCATGGTGGCGCATGCCTGTAATCTGAGCTACTTGGGAGGTTGACAGGAGAATCTCTCATACCTGGGAGGTGGAGGTTGCAGTGAGCTGAGACTGCCCCATTGCGCTATAGCCTGGGCAACAAGAGTGAAACTCCATCTCAAAAACAAAAACAAAAACAAAACAATTCCAGCTGGGCATAGTGGCTCACACCTGTAATCCCAGCACTTTGGGAGGCCAAGGCAGGTGCATTGCTTGAGATAAGGCAGGAGTTCAAGACCAGCCTGACCAACATGGTGAAAACCCATCTCTACTAAAAATAAAAAAATTAGCCAGGAGTGGTGACACATGCCTGTAGTCCCAGCTACTTGGGAGGCTGAGGTAGGAGAATTGCTTGAAACGGGGAGGCAGAGGTTGCAGTGAGCCGAGATCAGGCCACTGGACTCCAGCCTGGGTGACAGACCAAGACTCTTGTCACAAAACAAACCAAACAAAAAAACCAAGTCCAGGGGCCAGGCAAGGTGGCTCATACCTGTAGTCCCAGCAGTTTGGGAGGCTGAGGCAGAGAGATCACTTGAGGTCAGTAGTTAGAGTCCAGCCTGACTAACATGGCAAAACCCCATCTGTACTAAAAATACAAAGATTAGTGGGGCATGATGGTGCGCACCTGTAATCCCAGCTACTCAGGAGGCTGAGGCAGGAGAATAGCTTGAACCTGGAAGGCAGAGGTTGCAATGAGCCAAGATCACGCCACTATACTCCAGCCTGGGCAACAGAGCAAGACTCCATCTCAGAAACAACAACAACAACAAACCAAATTCCTGAGTTTACTTTTGATTACTTAAAACACTTATATGATGTTAATTCTATGTAGTAACATGTAGGGGGGAGATATCATAAGTGTCGAGGCAGGAGCAAAAAGCCTCAGCCTATTTCCATATAAATAATGAAGAAGAAAGTAACTAGAAATATAACTGTAGTTATTAGTTATTCATATGTGATCTTGGTTATTCATAGGTAATCTTAATTCTTTTACTAATGCCTCTCAGGTCGGAACTGTGAACCTGGAGTGACATTGTGAAATGAATGACACAAGGCAAGATGCTTTAAGCCCTCTGTCATGCCTGCATAAGGGCTGCTGGAGGGCGCCTTGGCTGTGCGGCAGAGCCAGTGCTGGGAAAGCACCCCCTGTTTAGCCAGCTAAAGAAGGAGCCGTCCAAGATCACTGAGACGTCTCTTTCCCCGGAGGAGTTAGGAGAAAACTCCGCTTCCCCAAGCTCTTGAGGTAAGGCCTCACGGCTGTCAGGTAGGCCTGCAGACATCTGGGGGCTTAATTGTCTCTATGTGATGCTGTGCTTCAGTGGTCACGTTTCATTTCTACTCTTATGCTCTACTTCTGCACCTGGTTCCTTTTTTCTTAGACAAGATCATCAGTAATAGTAATACAAATCTTAATGTTTTAGTTCTTTCTTGATAAGTATGGAAAAAGTGCTGATGCATTATGCTCCTTACCTGACTTCGAGTGCCAGAAATTCCTGAGCCCCTGCCTGAATGACACGTGATGTACTTGACCCTATCACTGGCACGCCCTATCTACCCTGTCCCCGGTCTCTGACCGCCAAGACCATGCCCTACTTACCCTGCCCTCAGATTTGCAACTCAATAATTGTGAGAGTGTCTCGCCATTCGGGGCCAGTGCTGGTCTCTGAGATTTGGTTGGCAGTGGACCCCCGCGCCCAAACTCTCTTTTCTCTATCTCCGTGTCTTATGTCTTTTCTTTCTTTTCTTTTCTTTTCTTTTCTTTTTTTTTTTTTTGAGACAGAGTCTCACTCTGTCACCAGGCACCAGGCTGGAGTGCAGTGGCAATCTCGGCTCACTGCAACCTCCGCCTCCCAGGTTCTAGCAAGTCTCCTGCCTCAGCCTCCTGGGTAGCTGGGACTACAGGTGCACACCACCACGCCCACCTAATTTATTTATTTATATTTTTAGTAGAGACGGGGTTTCACCATGTTGGCCAGGACGGTCTCGATCTCTTGACCTCGTGATCCGCCCACCTCGGCCTCCCAAAGTGCTGGGATTACAGGCTTGAGCCATCACGCCCGGCCATGTCTTTTATTTCTACAAT